AGCCAGATTATTGGAATCATTATTGAACAATGTGAAGATTAGAGACTCAAAAGCTGCTAAATCTGCCATATTACCATTATCAATGTACCTTCTAGATCCTCAAACACAGTCTCAGCAGGGGAAGTTGCTTGCAGCTCTTGCGTTAGGTGATCTATTCCAGAATGAAGGTCTTGCTCGAACTACAGATGCTGTTTCAGCATGCCGGGCTCTGATAAATCTCCTTGAAGATCAACCAACTGAAGAAATGAAAGTTGTAGCCTTATGTGCCCTGCAAAACCTAGTAACTTACAGCCGGTCTAATAAGAGAGCTGTTGCAGAAGCTGGTGGTGTCCAAGTTGTGCTTGAGCTGATCAATTCCAGCAATCCAGATACTTCAGCCCAGGCAGCGATGTTTGTTAAACTTCTGTTTTCTACTCAAACTATCCAAGAATATGCTTCCAGTGAGACTGTAACAACAATTACTGGTATTGTCTTAAACCCCTTATCATTTTTTGGAAGCTTAAATCTCATGAAAAAATGGGAAGGTTCAGTAATGTCTAACTTAGCTGTTTAGTTTATTTTCATGAAGCATATAGCTGCCAAATTGTGCCCTGGTAGATCTGTGATTTTACTCAGCATGGTACATAGTTCATTCAGTATCTTGTTCTACTATCATTTTCTACTAAATCCTCGAGTTATTCTCATGGAATTTGCTGCTATATTAAGTTTGCATCTATACTCAACTAATTTTAAGAATATTCTAGATCTTGCTTGTTCATTGGTATTCGCCAGATATAAAATATTTGATTCAATAATTTTCCGAATATTCTGTTATAAAATAATCTAAGAGGTACAACTAGTTGTCGGCACCTTCTGTTGTCAGCTTTACACCTATCTGAATAACCACTAAACAGGAACTTCAATTGTACACTTATCTATCAGTTTTTCATATACATGGGCATCTTATAGTGCCTGATTCAGCAAGGAGACCAGGATGAGATGTGAGGATACATAGGAGACAAACTTATACTATGTTGTAAATGACACCTTTGCAATGATACAAAATATTGTAAGATGACTCTGCTACAATCCTAAAAAATCTAAACAATTGTTTCTCATTTTGTTGTAGTAGATTTTACTGGTTAAATATCTACAATAACATACAGATCCATACCCAAAACTCATCTCGCTCTTCAACACAACTCATGAGGGTGGACACAAGAGTCCAAGTAAACCTGGCTTATATTTGATAGCTTTCATTTGTCTTTCTGAGATGAAATTTGGGAGATCTCTGTCCATCATATATTAAGAAGCGCCATCTGTAATCGATAATCATGGCTAATATCATTCGTATATATCTATTCAAGTAGTTATTACCTGTGCTAATTCTATTCTGTTTTTCTTCTCACATATTTGAGCTCTTAAAACATTGTATTTCTTTTTTCGAATCTCTTAGACTGTTTGGTAAATGTGCAGCTGCAATCGAAAAGGATTTATTGGCCTCTGGAAGTGTGAATGAGGAGTATTTAAAAGCACTAAATGCACTACTAAGTAACTTTCCTCGCTTGAGAGCCACTGAACCTGTTACACTGAGTATTCCCCTTCTGGTAAAGTGCCTCAAAACCGGATCAGAGGTGTCTCAGGAAGCAGCATTAGATTCACTGTTCCTTCTCAGGCAGGCATGGTCTGTGTGCCCGGCTGAAGTTTTCAAAGCTCAGACTGTTGCTGCTTCGGAGGCTATTCCTTTACTGCAATACTTGATCCAATGTGGCCCACCCCGATTTCAGGAGAAAGCTGAACTTCTGCTGCAGAGTTTACCAGGGACACTAACTGTTATAATAAAACGTGGAAACAATTTGAGACAATCAGTGGGAAACCCAAGTGTCTACTGCAAACTTAGGCTTGGCAGCAACCCACCTATACACACCAAGGTAAAACAGTGATCTTCACTTACATTTGTGCATTAATCCTTGAAGAAATAATTATTTAAGTAGTTTAAGCTTTTGGTAAGGAAAGAGAGTCACAGTATATGATTTAGATGGATATCTCCAATTGCCTGAAGATAATTTTCAGGAATACTCGTTATTTTTCAATATTAAGAAGCTGAACTTGTCATCCGAGGAAGCAATAAAAATCCATTGTCTGTTTGTGGTTGCCTTGGCATATTTGTGAACCAGAACATCTTAGTTTTATAACTTTGCTACTCTTTTCTCCTAATAGTACTTGTGGTTCCCCAGATTGTGTCAACTGGTCCTACACCTGAATGGGATGAAAGTTTCACGTGGGCATTTGATAGTCCTCCTAAAGGCCAAAAGCTCCACATATCTTGCAAGAACAAGAGTAAATTCGGAAAGGTACTTCTCCAACAAACGCAAGATAGAAACACTGCAGCTTGTGGTTTCTAACAAGCTGTCGATAACGATTTAGAATACTGGACTTTTCGGTCCTTTCAAACTTGACCCGATTATTTGATTTGACTGCAGAAATCGTTTGGAAAGGTGACGATCCAAGTTGATCAGGTGGTTGTGCTAGGATCGGCTGCCGGAGAGTATATTCTACTTCCCGAAAGCAAAAGCGGCCCTCCTCGGCACTTGGAAATAGAATTCCAGTGGTCAAACAAATAACATCCTCATTCGAGGTATGTCGTCCTTGTAAATCGATGTCAAAGAATTAAAACTGCTCCTCTTTCTGCACTTGATCATGCTTTCTTGTGGTATTGTATCCATCAGATAGGGTCTGCATAGGAATTATTCTTATTGAGTTTGCTTCACTAGAAAAAGGTTATCTTGTGTGCAGTATATTGCTCTTTGTTTTGTGTTCCGACACATTTCAATGACAAAAGATGGAGAAAAATGTATCTCTAATCTTTGAGTTTTTTCCCACTTTCTTTGTAAGAGATGTGCTCAAATATTACAAGCGAGTACTGACTAGCCCCAATAATAATGTCTGTCAATTCAAGCTGCTAGATTATAGTCAGCTTATTGTTATCATGCGGGATTTTCCTCGTGTTTTAATCATTCATAATCTTGCATATAGCATTCCCATTTGCTTGATTGTTTGCAGCTGTAGATGAACTAAAACAAGCTCTGTTGACTCCAAGCAAGTCATAACCTGCTCTGCTACCATGATAAAAATTTTTTTGAATTAGACGACTAATAACTCCAAAAGCTTAATCTAATCTAACATGGGAGAAGAGTGTTGTTGGGTGGATGAGGTGAGGGTGGAGAGCAGAGCATCAACTCCAGGACTGGGTCGGGTGGCGGGAAATGGCTCTCATCCCATACCACGAGACAAGCAAATGGACTCTACTGGTATGACACATCGTCATTAATAAGTACTCCAAATATTAATCCATGTAACATCAATTTACTACCATGAAAGCGAGACTCTTGTGGGTCCCATCTTGTTTCGTGGGTCCCGCAGCCTGGTTGCGTCCGCCCACGTCGCTGCTACCGTCGGTTGACGACTGGAGTGCGAACTTTGACGCGCCCGCGTGGTGTCATCATAACGCAGGACCACCTGCCGTGTATAACGACAAGAGTTCTCCGAGGAGATGCACATCATCGTGGAAGTGGCGTCAATTCCTGTCCCAATCTGCGTCTCTGTAACGAAGCTCATCTCAGTTCAAATATTATAAGGCTTTTACATTATAAACATTAACATCCTCAGCAATTTATATTCATAAAAAGAATTAAAATACTTACGACTAACATTAGTTAGTTTGAGTCAGAAAATAGTGATATGCTTAAAATATTCCTAATATTTTTAAGATCATAATCACTTTGAAAAATATGTTAGTGTCTGTTTACTTAGTCCAATCCTCTAATTTAATCCATCAATAATTATTTTTTATATGAATTTTGATAATAATACATTCATCAAATCCTTATAAATCAATCTCAGTATCACTAATTTTTTTATATAAAATTAATCGAGATGTTATAATTTATATACACGATTAACTATAGAAGGTTAGTCGAAAAACTAACTTGAATTTAGAGGATACATAAGAAAAAATAATTTGTTTTACAGGCATAATAATATGCAGTTATAATAAATATTTTGATAATCATATAATTTCATAATGGTAAAGCCAATAGTTGCCTCCTAATCGCTAGATGAACTCCAACAGCTACTCTCTCTCTCTCCTTTGTTTGTTAGTAGATTGTCCATATTCAGATGAGGGGGACAACCAAATTGCACCACTCTCCTGATAAACGAGGGAACAAGAAAGCAGATCCGCAAACCTTATCATGTTGGAGGAGATTACTATGACGACAATATCCTTAAAACTAGCTTCCTATGCAAGTAATAGACTAACGAAGATTTCTCGTATTGGTTCTTGCAAATGATATTGCAATCAGTCGATCCTTCTTTGGTTGTATTCTGCCTTTTAAATACATATCAAGAAAAACTAGCAAAGTCTTCTAAAACACCATTGTTATGCTCATGCATGCCGTGCAAAACGACCATCAGAAACATGAATGGAAAATGTTACAAGTGCAGCTAGAAACACTCTTACTTGTGAATGAGAACATGGTGATAGTCTTTGAGAGTGCGTAAATGGAGAGACGTGATTATTCTTTTTATATGCAAATAATGATCATTGGTCACTTACTTGCGATCTATATACTTAAAGAGCGTGCAGTGGAAGGGATAAAGAAAGAAACATGGTACAGTAGTAATGTGTCAGAAGACTCAGAACTGTGCAGTCTTCAGTTGCCGAATCTTTCCCTCTGTTTACAGCATTAACTGTACTGAGCTTTAACTGAATCATTACCATCTCTGTTTGCGCTTCCATTTCTTTCTCCCTCCTTTACCATATGGTTTTGACCGCTGTTTTATCCTAACAACTCACCTTTTGCTGTCATGATTCCACCCCCCTTATGCAAAACCCCATCCATCTGATTCTGATCAGATGGTCCAGGTTTGAGGAGTCACTGCTACAGTTCATGGTGAACTGGTGTTTAACCCATGTCCCATAAGTGGGTTTAGGAGATGCCACTGTTTCCTGCTGCCGTTCTTGTTGGTTTGATCATTAAGAAAGCATGTCTCCTTTACACTGCTCTCCAGAGAACTATGTAAGAGAGAGAGAGAGAGAGAGAGCATTATATGTAGCTCATCTTATCGAGTTACCAAAGAAACACTGCAATCTTGTAAGAGGTAAAACCACAAAGATCATAAATATCTCTCTCTCTCTCTCTCTCTTTAGTAGCTCCGTCTGCCAAACTTAAAAGTGCAGCAGGAACACCATAACTTTTCTCTCTTTAAGTACCACTCTTGCCTCATTCTCTTCCCCCTTTGTAGACCCTTGTTGTCTCGCTCTCTACAGCGCGCGCGCGCACACACCCACACAAATGAAGGCCAATGGCTTCCTATGCCGGTCGCATGTTGATGCAGTTTGCATTCCCGGGGATCCACGGTCGATGATCATGCCACGGCGGCCGGACAGGACGCTGGCGGAGCACTCGAGGCTCGTCGACTTGAAGTACTCGCGCCTCGTCGACTCCCGGAGATTCAACTCCGGCGAACGAAGCCGCGCAGTCACCCTTCCAATGGTCACAAAGAAGCAAAGAGAACCAAGGCCTGCTAAGACCACCACTGCCACCGGTACTGTCCCCTCCCGTCCTCCTTCCAATGACCATGTCTTCCAGGTAAAACCTTCCTGCTCGTTAGCCTTCTTCCTTTCGTGCCATGTAAGCAGCTTATTCTATGTTCTTCTTCAAACTCAGATGCAATCTAAGGGAAGAGAGAAAAAAGTTAGATTTAGAATAGGAGGATCAGTATGAGCTACAGAGAGTACAAATACCAACACTGATATAATGATACTATATTCTTTCTTGCGGAGGAGACACAGGCAGTAGTGGACCACTTGTGTGTCCCCCTTCTCTATGGATAATTTTCACAGTTACATTCATCCATAAACACCAAACTATTGTTTTGTCTTGATCCGCTACAAATATTCTTCTTTTGTTTTTCTCTTCTGATCCTTCGTTTCTATTTGACAGGTGGTGGTCATGAGAGTTTCGATCCACTGCCAAGGTTGTGCAGGAAAAGTAAGGAAGCACATCTCTAAAATGGAAGGTATGTATGTGTGTATGCACATATATGTGCACTCCGAAAGAAAAAGGATTTTGTCTATTGTTCTGCGTTAATATTCCCATCTACTGAACTTTTTCTGACAACTAAATCTGACAGGTGTGACATCCTTCAGCATAGATCTGGAATCCAAGAGGGTAATAGTGATGGGACATGTGTCCCCGGTGGGGGTCCTGGAGAGCATATCAAAGGTGAAGAAGGCCGAGTTGTGGCCTTGCTGAATTGCGCTTGGAGTCTCTCTTTTCCGTGATAAGATGGATCATGCCTTTTCTTTCTTTAGCTATGTTTGGTTGTCCGTGTTGTGGCTTTAGCATGGAAGAAAATGTGCCCCGATTGGTGATGCATAGTGAGTGTTCCAAGTTCCATGATTTCCTTAGACCTCATGTTACTGTACCGTTGTACATTACTTGATTGAACCATGTTTTACCCTAATATGTGGCCATCGATCTAGTATTATTGATCAACACCAAAATATAAAGTTTAATTGCTGTC